TTTGGTCAATGTCTGTCTTTATGGTAGCACCACACTATTTTAATGACCATAACTTTGTAGTAGAAAGTTTTGAAATAGGTAGTGGGAGTCCTATAACTTGGTTCTTTTTCAATATTGTTTTTTCTATTTGAGCCTCCTTTGCAATTTTGTATGAATTTGAGAATTAGCTTTTCTATTTCAGCAAAATGAGCCATTTGTATTTTGATCAGGATTATACTGAATATATGGATCACTTTGGAGAGGATTGTCTCTTAACAATGTTAAGTCTGCTAATCCATGAACATAGAAGTCATTTTATTTAATTCGTTTTCATTAATTTCCTTAGCACTGTTTACTAGTTTTTAGTGTACAAGTCACTTCCTGGGTTAAATTTGTTTTTAGGTATTTTATTATTTTGGATTCTATTATAAATGGAAATGTATTCTTAATATCCTTTTTAGACTGTTTGTTGCTGATGTGTAGAAACACAACTTATTTTTGTGGGTTGATCTTGTATCGTGCAACTTTGCTGAATTTATTAGCTCTCGTGGTTTTTTCTTGTTCGTTCTTCAAGATTTTCTACATCTAGAGTTATGTCATCTGCAAATAAAGATAGTTTTACTTCTTTTCTAATTCTCATGCATTATGTTACATTTTTGTTTTTTTTCCTTAACTCCTCTGGTAGAACTTTCTAGTACAATATTGAATAGCAATGGTGAAAGCATCATTGTCTTCTTCCTCACCTTAAGGGGGAAGCTTTCAGTCTTTCACCACTGAGTATGATGTTAGTTGTGGGTTTTTAATAAATTCCCTGTATCATGTTGAGGAACTTCTGTTCCTAGTTTTTTGAGGGGCTTTTCAAAGGCAGACTAGTCTTGGGGTTCCTGGGTGGCTCAGTTGGTTAAGTGTCCAACTCTTGATTTGGTTCAGGTCATGATCTCATGGTTCATGGGATCGAGCCTCGCATGGGCACTGATCCTGCTTGGGATTCTGTGTCTCCCTCTCTCTCTGCTCTTCCTCCGTGCTCACATGTGTGCACACGTTCTCTCTGTCTCCG